TAGACTTGAGAGGCAGGGCAAACAGTTGTAAGATTGGCTTGTGTGGATGGTTTCAGTCAGTTACAGGACACAGGGGCTGTTACCTGTTTTCTAGTACCTGGCCCTGGACTGAGTGTTGGTCCTGAGAGTGAGGACTGGAAAAGGAGGTGGTGGGTCAGTGGACTCTGGTTTACTGTCTCTAGAAACTGCCTAGCGCTGGCATGGGTGGCTTCTCCAGGGCAGCAAGGCCCCCAGATGCCAAAGAATCCAATTAAAGAAAACAAAAGCCATGGCTAATCCATAAACAGTTTACACTCTGGCCAGTAGAACATGGGGATTCCCCTTTCCCTGCATCTGTAGTAAATGTTTGATAGGCTCATATATGCATCTGTGCTCCAACTAAGAGGGGAAACTGGTACTTCTTATTTAATTGGCATTCTCCAATTCATCAGTGATCTCGAACTCTTTGGCACATGTGTACAGGCCAAGGGTGAGCAGAGAGGTCTGCTTTTCTCCCATTCCATCTCAGTCTTGTCCCATTGTCTTCAGACAAAAGCTAAACTTGCCCCCATGGCTTTCTGAATTCCTCTTGGCTTGACCTTAGGTGTGTCTCAGAAGCTGCAGCAGTTGGCATTTCTCGATTTGTATTCTAAATTCTAGCCTTGGTCTCTTCCTTACTTTTCCTTCCTGGTCTCTGCCTTGGATGGTCTCTCTGCTTAAGGAACTTATTATACTACCTGTCCTTGTTATTTCTCCACACACACACACACACACACACACACACACACACACACACACACACGTACTCATATGATGCACTGAGGCTACCTCCAGGACCCCTTTCCAGGGCACCCTCTCTTTTAGCTTCTGTCTATGACACTGTAACTGTAGGCTTCTCTTATCTAACAGAAATAAACCTGCTGACGATTTCATTTTCTTTGTCTGGGTAGCCTCTGTACCCAGCACAATAACTGAAATACCCCATGTGCCCACTGAGTACACTTTGTACAGATGGAAGAGGTGCAGAGGGTGTGAACCTGAATCAGCTCCTTTATCCAACTCCGCACAACCCCGGAAGCTAGTCTCCTCACTAATTGGATTTCCTGTCCAGGGCTGATGTGGTGGGCAGATCACAAGTTTTAAAAACTTCTAGATTTTCACAGAAAGTCAGCATATGGTGCAACGCTAGGCTCATGTTCTAGCATGTTCTAGGTTCATTAAGTTGACTGTATGTTTCCTGAATGTTCAAGACTAAGGAAACCCAGAAAGAGAAAAGGTTGTTAAATAGTTCTAGTGTCTAGTTTATAATGTCACAGAGTGTGTCCCTCGAGGTCTACATGGTGGAAACTTAACCCCAAATGCCACAGTGTTGGAAGGCAGAGCATGATGGGAAAATGGACTTACGTTACTCTGGAATTGCGCTCGTTACCACAGGAGTGGGTCTCTGATAAAAGGATGAGTATCAGACTCCTCCCCCCCCCCATATTGCTCTGGCCACATGATATCTTCTGCTATGCTATAATGTAACAAGAAGGTCCTCACCAGTTATAGACCTTGATCTTGAAGTTTCCAGTTTCCAGGACTATCAGTCAAGTATATTTCTATTATTTATAAACTACCTGTCCATGGTACTTTTTTTTTATAGCAACAGAAAATAGAGGATGAAATGTCCTCACTATTTGACAGTTACTTCTATGACTACCTGATACCTCAGGGAGTCTACAGAAAAATCTAGAAGGTCTTTGCCATTCTCTGTTGGTGTGGTTGACTCACGAGAGCGAGGAAGACAGAGAAGGTAGGTTTTTCTCCCACTTGGTGGGGAGTCAGGCATGCTGTCTCCTGCATTCCATCTATCTTTACTCTTTTCTGGAGAAAGTATGTATCCACATATATTCAAGATAGCTTATTTTGTAGACTCCCTGAATGTCAGGGTATGACTATCTTTGGAGATGGGGGCCTTTAAAAAGTTAATTAGGTTTACCTGAGGCCATTATGGTTGTCTCTAATCCGACTTTATAAAAACAGGCAGTTAGGACACAGGCACCACAGAAGAATGACTGCACAAACACGCAGGAAGATGGTGATCTGCAAACCAAGGCGAGGTCTCAGAGGGAAGCAACCCTATCAACACCATGATCTTGAATTTCCAGCCTCCAGAACTGTGAGAAATCCAATTTTTGTTGTATAAGGCACCAAGTCTGTGGTATTTTATGGCAACTGTGGAGAAATAATATATGAGGAAAAAATAATGTACCAAAGCTGCATGAATTCATTCATTCAGCTCCATAAACTGGGATAATGGGAATGCTGGGCCTGCACAGCACTGGTCAGAGTTGGGGGTGAATGTCATCCTCTTTCTAAAGCAAACCTTGACTGCTGGAGGTTGGCTGGCAGAAAAAGAGATCAGCTGGCTCCAGTTTGGCCAAGGACTGTGGAGCCTGGAAACTCTCACAACAAAGTGGCTACAAATAACCCACAGAAGGAGTCACAGGAACATGATGCTATCTCCAAATGGATGAAATGCTGTGGGCCCGGGGGGGGGGCGGGGGTGAGGCAGAACCACTGGGTGAAAGTTTCAGGAAAGGTAGATTTCAGCTCTGTACAAGGAAGGCTTTTCTAGTAGCACAATGGGCTTCAGAGAGTACTGGATGAGGCTGGATGACTTATTTATGCATTATTTGATTTTTATGATACTGGGGCTGGAACCCAGAGCCTCACATGCTAGGCAAGTGTTCTACTATTGAGTCACAGCCCCAGCTCAATGCCATATAAAATTTTTACCTATTTACTTAAATTTTGTGTATGAGTGTTTTGCTTGCATGTATGTTAAGTGCATCTGTGTGCGCAATTCTCACAGAGGCCAGAAGAAGGTGCTCAGTCCTCTGGAATTGGAATTACAGATGGTTAGTGGCTCTGTGCATGCTGGAAACTGAACCACTACCACTTTTTATGTCAAAAGAAACTTAAGCATAGACCCCATGTTGGGCCAGATGAACTTGGATGCTCCTTTTGGCCCTGATATTCTGCATAAATAGACTGTTTTCCCGTTGAGGAGTGGATTCCTGAAGCTTTTCAGGTAAGCTGTTGCGTGGTCAACATATAGTTTTGAACTCAGCGGATTTGACAAATATTAAAAGGAGGTAGAAATTTTACTGAGAATAAATAGGAATAAATATTCAGTCTGTGGAGAACAATCTCAGGACCTTGGAACATGGAATAATGCCCAAGTAATGTTTGGAGCCCCAAAGTACACGCTTTAACAGGAATGCACTTGTAGCCAAAAAATTTAAACTTATTCTGTGCAAAGCTGACATCTCAATTTTACAAATCGAAAAAAAAAAAAATACTGTGCTTGATTTATCTACTAAAAGCTAATCTCTCCTGCAAGAATTTGTTAAAATTACTCTCAGTAAGAGCCGACACAGTAAAAGCTGTAATTTCCCAACTACCATCAGTATGTGAGATTTTGGGAAAGTCGATAGAAGGACGGGATGATTTGGTGGCTGTATCAGAAACACGGTTTTTCATATCCACAAATTGTAGAGAATAATGGAGTGCTACTGGTTCTGAAGTGCTGCCTGCGGGCACCACCTCATTAGCGCGCACCCCTTAATCATCGCGGCTGGAACGGGTGGGGGCTCAGAGCCCAGCCCGCAGGGGAAGGCCTAGCTTGCTGGGGGGGACCACGTACCGGCAGGGCAGGCGGGGTAAGCAGAGCTTGTTGCAGGCTGGGCATAGACGCCAGAAAGGGCACAGTGACCAGGCGGGACTCTTTTCCTGGGGACGGTTGATCCTCTTGGGATCCTATCCGCTGCCCCCAAAGCCTCCCTTCCCCCAGATACCCAGTCTTCCTCATTGGCACCCATCACCTCCCACCACTGGCCTTCCTGGGGAGCGCCTCCCAAGCTAAGGCTCCTAGGGACGCATGCCTCTCCAAAGCAGCCCAAGAGTCTCTACTCCTAACGCCTACAGCAGGCAAAGGGGAAATACCAAGAGTGCATGCGGGCGGGGGACCACGACCCAGCAGCCTTAGGTCATCCTCCCAGCTCTGGGGGAAGCGCAGATCCTGCGGGGGTGCATGGGAGTCACGCGGAACTTAAGGCTTAAGCAGCGTTCGCACTCGCTCCGCCCCACTCAAGTTAGCCCCGTGGTTGGTGAAGGTCCTGGGGTGGGCACCTGCGGGCAGAGAGCCTGGACCCCTCTGTATGCAGCGACCTCCGCGGGCGCAGCGCTCTCCTGTGGCTTGCGTTGGGGGCTTCACAGGCCACGGGTGAAGGATCTGGGTGGTGCAGCGCCTGGGAAGGAGCGACAGGCCTGCGTGTGCGTGCATGTGTATGTGTGCGTGTGTGTGTGCATGTGTGCATGTGCATGTGTGCATGTGTGTATGTGCGTGTGTGCGTGTGTGTGTGTGTGTGTGTGTGTGTGTGTGTGTGTGTGTGTGTGTGTGTGTGTGCCGCTGGCCACTCGCGCCCCGACAGGTGCAGGCGCGCCGGCTTCCCATTGGCCGCGGCGGCGGGCCCCTTCTCCCTCCCTCCCTCTCGGGTCCCCTCCCCCGCCACCGCCACGGCAGATCCGGCAGATCCGGCGCGTGCG